GTGCAAGAGGCCTATCAAGATGCAACGGCTAAAGGTCATGGTTACCTTATGATTGATTGCAAACAGGACACTTTGGATGAGTTAAGATTTCGTGCGTGTATATTCCCCGACGACGAGTATCAATATGTTTACCTGCCAAAATATGCAACGAGTGCTTTCGCGCATTTGGGTTAAATTAACAGATAAAATAGTTTGTAGTAACGCATAGCTCTCAGTTTTCTTTTGACAATGAAGCCATCAACACCGAAAAACGGACGTTTCAAACAACCCCCTCGTCGTGTAGACGAGGCTCGTGAAGCTCCTTTTAAAAGAAAGTACATTGCAATATTAGAAGCTCTCGCTCATCTCAATAGAGAACAGAGAGTTGCATTATTAAAAAAAGGAGACAAAAAATTAATCGACTGCTTGTGCGAGTGTGTTTTAAACATTCTCAAAGGTGTTGTTTCTCTGAAAAACAGTCAAAAAAAAATTTTTTTAAAGTTTAAAAGTGTTTTAAGACAATTAATTGCGAAAAGTCAAGGTAAAAATTCGTGGAAAAAAAAGAGGAAAATTATAGTTCAAAAAGGTAACGGTTTTTTACTGTTAATATTACAACCTATTCTAAGTGAAATATTATCAAGAATATTGTACAAATAATAAAATGGAAAGAGGGGAAAAAATGATTTTACTGTCTAAAGACCAACTCGAAAGAATAAAAAGAGAAAGCACCTACCGTAGGAGGAAACCCCGGTCCTTCTACTCCTACAGCCGCAAATAATTTTTTCACACATTCTATTTTACGAACCACACAGACAGCCGGAGATAACTTGAGTCGATTAGACGACTCGAGGAAAAAAATTCTAGATTCAAATTCGTATAGCAATGAATATGATAAATTGAAGGAATACTTGAGAGTTTTACACTGGTATTTATACTTTATCGATGAAAAGCGTGAGCCAATGCAGATTGCTAAAAACGAAGTTAAGAATATCACTACTAATACAGATGATTATGGAATGAGCGAAGAAACGATTGTCAGTACTGTACCTAAAGTGTACCAACAAAAATCTATGCTGCTTTTAAAACATTTAAAAGGGTACAAAAACAATATTAAGTGGGAGAGTACAGGTACAGTAATTTATAAAGGTAAAAAAATTGATGGGTCAAATATTATTGATTTAATTAATGATGCTGCGAGGTGAAGGAAAAATGTTAAATCGGTGGGGAGAACAATTTTTGCTAAAGTACTTCGGGAGATAAACACTCCTCAAGAACTCGTGGGAAATACAGACCTCTTGAAAATCGTAGATCGCGACAGTTCAAGCTTGCTGTTGGATGGAGCCAGTAATATAAAGTCGCTCGGAGAAGACAAAGAAACGTTTGAACACAAGACTTTTTCATCACCTTTGGAAAAAACTGTACACGATTCATCTTCACCAAAATCAAGCGGTGTTAAAAGCTGGTTACGATATTAATAAATAATGAATGTGCTAGAGAAACAATATTTTAGCCCTAACCATGAAGCAGCATTTTCTGGGGTCCGCAATTAAATAAGAGTAAATAAAAAAAAAATCTCCCCCGAGAAAATTAAAGAGTGGCTGCAAAAACATGATGCTTATACTTTACATAAATCTATTCGGCGAAAGTTTCCACGGTTGTTTTACGATGTTAATGCTAGAGATGAATTGTGGGAAGCAGATCTCATTTAACTGACGTCATTAAAAAACTACAACGACGGAGTGACTTTTATTTTAATTGTAATTGATGTATTAAGCAAATTTGTATGGGTGCAACCTTTAAAAGATAAAAGTTGCCGTAATGTAACAGCAGGTTTTAAAAAAATTCTTGAAAATAGTCAATCTCGCTCGCCCTTTATGTTACAAACGGATCGAGGGACTGAATTTTTAGGCAGTGAATTTCAACGCTTTTTGAAAGACAATGCTATAAAATTTCGAGTTGCCAAAAACCCTGATGTTAAAGCGGCCGTAGTAGAGCGCGTCATTCGAACGTTTAAAGAGCGTATGTACAGATATTTTACTTACAAAAATACATACCGTTACGTAGACGTTTTACAAGATTTAATTAGTGGTTACAATAATACCCCCCACTCTACAATAAAGTTAGCGCCAAGCAGTGTAACAATATATAACGCACATATAGCACGACAAAATTTAGTCAATTCGAGACAACCTTGAACAAAAATACGGCACAGTCAAAGTAAATATAATTATAAAGTAGGTGATTATGTACGCATAAGCCGTGATGAAAATGTGTTTGAAAAAGGTGCAGTAAAAACACGGAGTGAAGAGATATTTAGAATTACTCGAATTTTGAAAAGACAAAATTTACATGTATATGAGCTCCGTGATTTAGATGATGAAAAAATTGAAGGATTTTTTTACTCTCAAGAACTTATCTCTGTTTGCAAAGAGCGTGTCTCGGAGCAAGACCATAAAATTGACAAGATCTTGAAAACAAGAGGAAAAGGGAAAAACAAACAACACTTTGTTAGTTGGGCAGGATACCCTGAAAAATTTAACTCGTGGGTAAATTCAAGCGATTTAAAAAACAATGCATCATAACGAGTTTACTGTAACTCTACCTAGCAATAGTAGTATGATATATTTTCCGAACAATACACAAATTTTTCCACTCAGTTACCGAAAGAGATCGAGCTTAGTGGTAAACGGGAAGTAGGAATTTCCGAGATTCACGTACCGTACACTATTTTGCATGTACGACGAGAAGAGGCAGTAATAAGCGATCATGGTGAAGAAAAAAAGTGTTTTATTCAGCACGGCACCTACGACTCTGTACATAGTTTATGCGAGGAAATAAACAGAAAATGGTTGGAATACTATCATAAAGATAAGAAATGTCAGCAGCTAATTTATGATCATCGAGGCGGATTTGTATTTATTGGATTTCCAATAATAGGACCAGGACGTACAAGAACATGCGGAAAAACGCCGGCTGTATCAACTGTAGTAAAACGCGTTATTGGGTTTGAGGAAGGACTAACCGAGATTGAGCGTGACCGTGCCGAAATAAGAGGGGATTACAGGCTATTGTTTCACAGTAAACAACCAGCAAGCTTATCAAGAGCGGTACCCGATCAACTTTTTATCTATTCTAATATATGTGAATCAAGTATAGTTGGTGATACATTTGCACCCCTGCTGAAAATAGTAAATTTAGCCGCTCAAGAAATTAATTTTGGAAGCACAATTGTCAAGAGATATACTCCACCGGCCTACGTACCCCTCCTCAATAATAGACTTCATACAATTGACAGATATAAGAGATCAATTTGGTAAACCAATATCATTTGAGTTTGGGACACTGACCGTGGTGTTTTTTTAGGAAAGTTTTTTATTAAGTGAATCGTTACAAAATGGTTTTTTACGAGGGGTATCACACACAGCACGGGGGCGGAAGAAAAGTCAAGCATGTGTTTGCAGGGTCATATAGACAGAGAGGACATGGATTAGGCTCTTTTTTCACTGGACTATTTCGGAGTGCTATGCCCTGCATAGTCAGAGGTGCTCGTGCCGTTGGAAAAGAAGCTTTACGAGCGGGAGTGAATATAATTGACGATATAGGGGAAAGCAATATTCCATTTAAACACGCATTCAAGAATCGGATAAACGAATCTGGTAAAAATTTAAAACGTAAAGCTACGGAAAAAATTGTGAAGCTGATGGAAGGATCGGGATATAATGCTTTACCATATAAGAACAGAGCACAGTCTCGGCGTAAAAGCGGTGGTGTAAACAACTCGTTAAACGCTGCAGAAAAAAAGAAAAAAAGTCGTTCGAGAAAAGTCAAGCGAAAAATAGGTACGCGTAAGAAAAATAAAAAAAATTGTAAGAAAAAAAAATCAAACAGAAAGGTAAAAAAAAGAGTTGTTCGCAAAACTAAGAGAAAGGCAGTAAAAAATAAAAAATCAAAACCAGTAGATATTTTTGGATAATCATGTCTTTCCTGCATAGTCACACAGACCCTTGCTTGAAGAGCGAATTGGATTTATTTTCCGTTCCTCTCACGCAGACGGCATTAGAAGCTAATCGATGGGTGCATTACAAACCTGTTTCGTCGTTAAGCGACGAGAGTCCAATAGAGTTCGTTATCAGTTCTCAAAACGAGGATTACATCGACTTGGCCCATACGATGCTCAGAGTGAATGTCAAATTGACACCTTGCGACAAGGATGGGGATGCGCTTGTAGCTCCAGTAAACAATTTTTTACACTCGATATTCAACCAAGTTGACGTATATTTTAATCAAAAACTCGTGACTCCCCCAAATAATGCTTACCCTTACAGAGCATACATTGAAACGCTATTAAATTACGGCCCTGCAGCAAAATCATCGCATTTGTCAACAAATCTTTGGGAAACAGATGTCGCTGGTGAAATGGATAAATTACCCGGCTTAAAAAAAATTCAGCTCTTACTAAACGTCAAGAATATTTAAAAGACGGAAAGACCATAGACTTAATGGGTCATTTACACTGTGACGTATTCAATCAGGATAAATTATTATTAAATGGCGTCGAAGTTTGTTTACGTCTAATACGCTAAAAAAGATGCTTTTTGTCTCATGGATGCTTCAACGAAAAATTATTCTATCAGCATTACCAAGGCTACGCTTCTCGTTCGGCGAGTGAAAGTTAGCCCTACAGTTTTGATCGTGCATGCAAAAACTTTGGCTAACACTACGGCAAAGTATCCAATTACGAGCGTCGAAGTCAAATCTTTTACCTTACATAGCGGTATAAGCGGTGACTGTTTGGATAACGTTATCTTTGGACAACTTCCGAAAAGAATCATTTTAGGTTTTGTTGACAACAAAGCCTTCAACGGGGATCGAAAGATGAATCCATTTAACTTTCAAAATTATTCTACAAATTTTTTGTCGTTATACGTTGATGGTGTACAAGTCCCTAGTAAACTGCTGCTACCGACTTTTACAGGTAACACACCCATGTACGTGGAAGCATACCATACTTTATTTTCGAGCACCGGAATCTACTACATGAACGAGGGAAACAGTATACACAGAAAATACTATCCCAATGGGTATTGCCTATTTGCATTCAATCTTACACCTGATCTTTTATCACATTTTGCAGGTCATTGGAATTTAGTAAAAAATGGTACAGTACGAATAGAGGTGCGTTTCGAGACAGCTCTCACGAAAACTATAAATTGCATTTTGTATGCTGAATTTGACAACATATTGGAAATAGATTCAAATCGTCAAGTAGTTGTAGATTTCAACTCATAAGAATTCATACATCTGTTATTATGGACTCGTTGCAACTGCGTAGAGCTCTTTGCAATATACCTGCAGCGACGGTAGGCGTATTCCCCGCTGACCGGTTACCTTTTATTTGGACGAGACCGTGCGCTCTCATTGTTAATACCGACGAAAGTTCCAAACCTGGCTCGCATTGGGTAGCTACATATGTTGATATTAAAGGTGATGGAGTGTACTTTGACAGCTATGGTCTTCCACCCACGATCTCTCATCATATTGATAGACTCAAAAGAAACTGCATTACTTACCATTGGAATGTACAACAGCTTCAAAATATTAATTCCACCGTTTGCGGAAATTACTGTATCGATTTTTTATTTTTCATGTGTAACAACTATTCTTTAGGCATGTTTTGTTCATTTTTTTCAACAAATACTCTTATAAATGATAAAATAGCTGTAACTTTTTT